ATCACCATCCTTGTAAACACTACAGACATTTTGCTTTGCAATGAAAGGATATGTTCAAACACACAGAATGATCACACAAGACTTCTATTACTTTTTTTACACAAATTTTGTAATTAATTTTGCCCTTGAAATTGCCTTTGAAAAGATCTCCGTGCAATAAAACACACATTTTTATTATCAGGAGCTGTACAGAAAAATGTGTTTGACTTTTGTATATGTAGAAGACAATGGTTTTCTCCCAGTTTAATTTAAGCTTAACTATAGTTTAATCAATATTCCATTACTTTAATGAGGATCATCACCAAAATATAGGGAATTTCTGAAGTGTAAGGCCTCGAACTACCTTTACTGAATTACTAAATAAAAAATCTAATATACATTTCCCTTAGGCTTCTTCAGGCAAACCAGCAATTTGTAATCTGACACTGGTTTTAATAATGTAAAACTACTGACTCATTTTGGAGCTAAAAATTTCAAAGGAAAAAAAGTATGTGGTATAGTCTGCAGTAAAATCAGATAAAACCCATGACAAATAATAAACTGTGCCCTAAAACTCAGCTGGTTGTCCTGCACATCAGTCTCTAGGTGGTCTATCTCCTCTCCAAATAGCTTATCAGCTCATTGCCTCCATTAGACATGTGATTGCTCCTAGGTGAAATTGTTTTTTTTTTCCATTGAAGTGAAAGTGGTCTCCAAATTAGGAAAATGTACTCACCTTTAGCTCAATAATCTGAGCTTCTTATATCTTTAGTTCAGCAATCAGATATTAGTAATGTTACTGAAATATTAAAATATACTAGTTTTTATCAAACCTCAGGAAACACTTTTAGAATGGTGTAAATGTACACTACAAATTCTAAAATGCCATGCTCAATATATAAGACAACATGAATTGTGTATATTTTCAACCTGCAGGTTTCCATGTGTATCATTCAGTTTGTCAGCTTGTCAACTTGACATATGCACACAAGCTACAAAAACACGAATTACTTAATTATATAGTATTAAATGAGGATTTGTTTTAACTATTGAAATTGGTAGCTTTAAGATTCAAATTTGTTCTGCCCTTTCACTTTTGTTTATCATGCAGATTTGAACTGTATTGAGTTCCATTTCTCATATATTGTAGGCATGTGCACCTTCATCTGTGCAATTCTGAGCAGTTCTGGAGAAAGTTCAAAATCTAACCTAGACTGAAAAAGATGGAAATGTCTCTGTTACGGACCTTATTGTTAAAAAAAAAAACATCTCTTGACATTAATCTTAAATTAGAAAGAATCTCATTTTCTAATTTAAATGTTATCATATTCATTATTTTATTAACAATAATCGTCAGAACATGGAAACATCTGTCATCATTTGGGATTGTTTTTCTTTGTTTTGCTTTTTCTGTGGGAAAAGAAGCACAGTGCCTATCTAGTTTAAGTGTGGATGAAAGTTTCTAAATCCAGTTGTTTACACAAGAAAAGGCCATCAGGAAAGAAAACCTATCTTGTTGCATGCAAAATAACTTAAAACATATCTGCTTTTCAACTGCCAGATGTTCAAGTGGCTGAAGAACTCAAATGCACTGCACCTGCTCAGCAGTTAATTTAATTTTTACATACCCCTAATGGCAAACTCCATGTGATCTGGGGAGGGTGAGATTGAATATATTTATAGCACCTTGATCTTTCTCATTTATAAAAAAAATCTCAAATTCCTGTTTCCACACATCCACAAACATTTTATGAACTTTTTTTTCATAGGACATATTTGAGCTGTGAATGCACCAAAAATTATATATGCCTATTAAGAGTTTTCATGTACTAAAGTGTCAAACCAGAAGTGCCACTTGTCAATAATTTATTATATATGAACATAAAATAAATAGTAAAACATTGTACACATTTAGCTGGGTAGCTGCGTCAGCATGCATAGGCTGTTTCTAAAATTTCTTAAATTTATACACAAATTTGTATGCTTTTTATGCCTGTTATGTTCTTTCAGTTTATACTGAAAAATGTAACTTTGAAGTGATATTGTATGTAAATATGAATGTTTGAAATACAAATAAGACATGTTAAGACAATTCCATTGCAATGCTCATCCTAGCAGAAGAGCAAAATTTACACTAAATTACACCCGAAGAAGGCTCCACAGCTGAAATGTTGTGTTTTCTCTCTTCTGTTTTTAGCATGGAATAAACCTATTACTTGTTCCTGTGAAAGATACTGTATATACTGGTGGTCAAAAGTATAGGGGTAAGTCTAAAACATACTTAAATCCCACTAAGTAAGAAGACAAACACAAACCATTTATAATTATGTGCAAAATATAGCACAATACACAATTTTCTAGTATTTTGTGTTTTTCAGAACCTGAACCTGAACTGGGTGAATTGAAGTAAACATTTTTCTTTATGTTCTGTCTAAAATAGCATAATTTCTACAGAGAAATGGTATATATGATTATTAGATTGTATGGAAAAGGTAAATAAAAAGTAGCATGGTCAAAATTCATTTTCATAATCCTGTCTAAGAGAAAAAACAGCTGTTCAGCAAGAAATACATAAAAGAGGTACTGTATGTCCTGAAACATGAGCAAAAAACATTACGATTGCCATACATAATATGTATAGACTATTCCTCACAGACATTATGTTCAGAAGAAGGAAAAGAAAAAGGTTACAGAGAGGGTCTAAAGATCAATAAAATGGGATTGTGACAGTTTTACTGATAACCAAGGCAAACTAAGAGCTTAGTACATTCTACATCTTTAAAGGTTCAGGCAGTGCCATGAGGAATGCTTGTTTCCAGTACCGACATTTTTGCAAACACTGTAAAGTAATAAAGTTTACAAAAGAATACAAACACAAAAGCCAAGATGAAATTGCAGGAGACCCTAACTAGCATGATAGTAACAAGTAGCCAGAAATAATAAAGGTACCAAATGCTCAGCAATTTTTTAATAGGCAGCCCATTAACACCATGCTGTGTTTTAATCCTAATTGACTTGTAAAAAACAAGCCATCAGATCTTAATGGATATCTTCGGTACAAGGACTCAATGTAAGAGCTGAATATTTAAAAACCTTTAGCAAGATGCTGCATGGCAACAGGTTGGTCAAACAGCAACAGCCTCATAAAGCTGAAATTTACTGCACACTTTTTTTATACATGGTAACGTTGAACTTTTGTCAGTTTAATCTTTCAAAAAAGACATTCCTGTGTAAAATTCAAATTCTAATCTTTGTGATTGTGATGGCATAACGGAACTTTATGTAAACACGTAAGTTTTAGCTCTAATTGACAAACAATGTGGCTGTGCATGATTCTACTCACCGAATAATCTTTTTCTTTAAAATTAGGAGCTACAGTACATCTGGATGGCACAGGTTATTTGCAAAAATCCTGTATTTGAAGAGTTCTTGGTAATAATTGCTTCAAACTCTAAAGCTTATTTTTAAATTTTATATAGACTTTATATTTTTATATTTTATATTATACTATTTTTAAAATAATACTTTTATTCCATTGTATTCTTGTCACATATGTTACTATATATGTTATGAAGTGTAAAGAAAAAGAAGTGTCCACTGGTTCGTGCTTCACTGCTTACACTGGAAACGTTCTGAAGATTGAATAATGATTTTAAAGATTTTGAATGTGAATCACATTCCTACATACTCATCTCTGTATGAGAATGGAAGGGCTCAGTTCCTTCTGTTTGCTTGTCTCTGGATGTACTAGTGCATTGTACATAAAATCCCATTATTAAAATTGTACTCCACAAAGAAATCGAACTATATATAGATTCTAACATTCTGTTTGTCTTTTTCCACATCATCTAATAGATGTAAATAATATTTAGTAGTTCTGTAGTTCTTTTTCTTAATTATTTTAGTGTATTTTAACAATGTATGGTATGAAGCACCATCGAAGCCATCATTATATTCCACCCAATTAGCACCTATTACAATAAATGTATTCTAATTAATGACTTACTGTAAAAGGAAGGTTTCTACAATTTTCTTTAGGCTTTTCTGTTCATCAAAAACATCCACAAAGACTGATTCTGCCGGTGACTTTAAAATTGCTGGATAACTATTCTTAATTGTCAAAGCTTCTGAAAGCACTTGGAGCTTCATGAAGGTACAAATACATTGGAATTGGTGGCACACTACATGCATGGGATAAATTGAAATATATGGGGGCAGTATTGTGGGAGAAATGCTTGAAACAGTCAGATACTTTCTCCAGTCATAAAAATAAAGCAAGGCAAACAAAGCACCAAGTTATAAGTAACATAGTCTTTCTTTAACGGACTGATTCTAAAATATGTAGTCCGCTTTTGCTCAATGGCACCCTAAGAAACAAAAGCAAACTGGCCTATTGTGTATCCTTATTTTCAAATAAATATCTCTTTCCTGGAAAATAACAAGCCACTTAAACTCAGTTCATGAATGTGCAAACACACGGGGTTTGGCCTATAAACAAATTCCCCACGACAGCAGATCCTAACCACGCATTAAATAATTAAACAAACTTAGAAAAAGACATAACTGTAAAAAACAACAATAAAACACTGTGTTATAACACCCACACGTTGTACCCATTACAACCAACAACAGGCTGCAAGACTTGGATGTTCACTTCACTGAGGTATAAATTGTGACACAAAAGCAGCTCATTAAGATAAAGAGCCTATACTTTTCACTGAAATGGTAGGCACATTGCAGTAAGTTTGTGTGCTATTCATCTAAATAGCTGCAAGTAGCCACCCAGTGCTTCTGGCTCTCTAAAGTATGCGCAAAATGGGCAGTGGAGGGGGATGGTGGGAGTTTCCTGTCACTTCTTTTACCTTATACACGTGGGGGCAATATGTGCAATGCAAAGTCTAACTAACAATTGCAAATAGGGGAGTAATCCCTCCCAGTTCTCTCGGTTTTACATATTCCCCCCTCCCTCCATATAAAAAGAAGGACAGCTGCTGCATTGTTCACAATCTTGGTCTTGTTGGTCGTCCACAGTAGGACAATTTCTCTTAAGATGCTTAGAATTTTTTAGGTTTGTCTTTGGAAAGAAAAGGCCTGGGAGTTTAAAGACATACAAGACAGCGGTCCTGAAAGAGAGAGTGAAGAGAGACAGAGGGGGTACCTGCTATAGCCAGTCACCTTGCCTGATGTGATCATTAACCTTTTTGACAAATACAGAAAAAAGGGCAGTTCACTCATGAGACTCGAGTCTTTGCTTTGAACTGTGGTACAGGAGCTTTGGCAGCTGAGACACAGTAGGGGAATTTCTGTATCTATTGGACCTCACTGAAGAAACCTGCTGCGCATCGACCTGACCAAAATGAGATTACAGAACCTGTTGTACATATTTTTTCTTGTAGTGATGAGTCTTTTGTTAATCAGTGGACAACGACCAGGTACGTGTATCGAATGCCTGTGCCTATCTATTATTACATGTAACAAATGAAGAGTCTGGTTTTGGCTTATAGATGAGCATTTTATTACATAGATTATTAATTAGGTTTAAGAGCTGTTTATTATGGACTCAAGAAACATGTATCAATAAAATACAGAAGAGAAACAATTAGTGAATATTTACAGTAGGTCATATTTACAATAAATCCTATGGAACTGACTACCAAATAGGATAACTCTTAACAAGCATGTTAATGTTAACGCATAAGAAATTTTAAAAAAGATACATACATATAAATTATTATAATAATTAATAGTTGCTTACACTTATATAGCGCTTTTCTGGACACTCCACTCAAAGCGCTTTACAGATAATGGTGACTCCCATCCACCACCACCAATGTGAACCATCCACCTGGATGTACATAATAGTACATTCAATAAATATGTATAACTAATTATTATTTATAATGTATTTCTACACTATTTAATTAAAGTGATATTCTAAGGTGAAATTAAGAGATTTGTTCTCAACACTTTAAAACAATGAAAATTACAGATGGATGCATTATTACTCAGTTAGCAAAGTGAAAAGCACATTTGTCCTTAGAAAAGAATTTAACACATTGCGTCAGGAAATTTTATTGAGTACAAAACTAATAATAGGACAAATTAGTTAGAAATGAATTGTTATATTTTGCCAAATAGTGTATAATGATAAAACCTTAAACCTTTTTTAAAAAAATTAAAAACAAACATTAGTTCTATTCATGATGTACAGTTCAACTAATAAGATAAAAAATCTTAGTTGTCTTGCATGTTTTTTGCGAATTGTTCAAGGGGAGCTTATCTAGCAAAGAGATTTGTAAAGAGGAATTTTATCTCAGAATAAGAGTATATTTTTTAACTTCTTTAAATTTATTTTTTGCATTCCTATAATAGTATGCACGTTCTATGTTTAAATTGTGAAACTGGGAAAAAAGTTAGTTTATACCAGTGTTTTATGCAAGTGATATTTGTTGCTTAATTTCCTTCAAATCATGTCATTTGACTATATGAGGGTTTAATTGACCATGACGGTGCCAGTCTAGGTTTTTTCAGCTGAACTCTTTAGTTTCAGAATGCAAATCCGAATGAAGCACTGGCTGCATTCCCAGCTCAATCCCTTATTGTTAGTCATGATCTTCAATCAAATGCTAACAGGGTCTGAGATGCTGAGGACTGATTTCCAACCTACCATGAAAGTACTATTAACAGAGGAATAGCTCACACACTTTCAAATGATTTTCAAACTGAGTCATTAGTCTTAGCTAAAAAAAAAATCTCTTAAACTGCTCGTTTGCAAGTAGTTCAGTCTCAGTTTACAGTAACAAAAATACATTAAAAGGTTTGTTAATCCTAACATCTATTTGCTCTTGGATCTAACTTTTTACTATGATACTTAAGGAAAGGAAAAGCATTTCCTTGTGATTTATGGGCAAAGGCTGTTTCACTGGCATCCTCTGAACACCTAAGTGCTCTGTTGGTCAATTGGTTATATTGCTTATCCTGCAGATAAGGATCAGTAATTTTAAGGCTCCATTTCACCAACAATTTATTGTACCCAGGACATTTCTGAAAGACTTCCGCATGTGGCACATATGTGACATTAATGGCTTGTAATTACTTCTTTACACTTCCAAGTAAACTTTTAAGGGTTTGAAGTTGTAATATAGGAGGGAAATATTATCACTGAATAAAGTTTTAGGTAATGATCCATTTTATGAATTAAGGACCTTACTCACTACTTTGTACAATCTTTCACTGTGTTTTGCTATCTGCATTTTGTGATGATGATGGTATTCAAGTAATCTTAATAAGATGTCTTAAGATGGTTGTTTTTTTTAATGTCAATAATTTGATAGTAAATCATATTTTAATATTAATAATCAATGCATGTCATCCATTTGGAAATATTAGCTTCACCTTGCATTGAAACATCAGATGACGGTTGTTATATTTATTGCATCAACAAAATTGCAAACATTTATTTGAATGCATTTTTCCCAAAACAAGTTAATTTAGCACTGATTGTATATTGCAAAGGAATGGACAGAGGGTGATTTCAAGCTGAAAAGTAAAGAAAAGAAACACTATGTTTTGATTGTGGAGCCTTCTTGATCGTATGTTGTTGTTTCTCTTTATTTCAGAACATTTCAATCTAAGACGCAAATATCACAGGCACCATTGTCCACACAGAAGATGTATGCCTCTTCATGCAAGAGTTCCCTTCCCTTAAGGTACATAGAGACTATGATCAACATTTGTTATTGCTCACAACTGTGTTAGACAATTTGATTCCTCAGACTCATTCATATTTATATTCGATATTATTAATAATTTAACCAAATTATCAGACATTGTCCATGTTTTGGCATATGTCGTCTATTTTGGATCAAATTCAATTGTTTCAGTTGTCTACCAGAAAGTATGGATTCCTCTCAGGACAGGAGTTCCTCTTAGGATTTCCTTTTGGGACTAAAAATAAAATATAATAATCAGCATAAATGTAATTTTCACTACCAACTGCATTTGCTAGATTTTATCATTTGTAGTAACCTATACAGAAAATGTTATTTATCTTTCAAGTTGGTATCCTAAATATATACTAACAAAAGTGCTACAGGACTAACATAATGAATATTCAAAGAATTTTTTTCTGCTAGAAGATACTTCACATCAATCTGCTATTGATATTGATATTAAACTGATTAGAATATATGTTGAATAATACTTATAAATATAAAATTAATATGAAAATATATGTGTATTTATTGGGCATTCATAATGATTTGCTATGTTTCTAATCTCATAGAACCAAATGTAAAATAAGGAGGTTAAAGAGCTTCGGATTTCATGGTGCTTAACCTAATATGCCAGACTTGATTTATCTTGTATTACAAAACAAGGATTAATGAAGCATTTTTCATTATATATAAAAAAACATTCATAACTATCCTTAGAACTAATGTAAATAAGGGGTATGGCCAAAGACACCAGTTTTGACACATCTGAAACAATGAATTGGCAAAATTAGTGACTTTGTTTAAAAAGTAAATTGTTTTTAATTTTAGTTGTTTTAATTATTTCCTTTTATTTTATTTATATCTTTTCGCACTTGTTGACATTATTTTACTTTCCTTAGTAAATGTTCCTGCATGGGAGTTACGAACATGTGGCATCAACAATATACAGCAATAGTTGGCTACAGAGGATTGCTTTTTTAATTGATAATTAAACCTTCAGGAATTTTAGCTGCATCCTTTCAAATTACTCAATAGTTTCAAAGGATGTGGGTTCTTTGTAGTTTGGAAGAACTTAAGACATGCTACTTCCTAACTGCAGAGAAATACCCTTGAGATTTTCATACACTTCCTTTTTAATCAACATAAAAGCTGTCATAACAGTTATCATAGGTTTAATTTCCCAAAAGAGACTTTTTAAAGTTTATGTCTACCTATCTATGAAATGTGGAGTATCAATAGGTTTTCCTTTCAACTTCTTCCTCGTTTTTGCTACGACTATTATAATTTATGAAGGATGCCTGAAAATGAATGACAGGTTCAAAGGAGTTTAGGAAAGCAAACAAAACTGTAGAAGGCAGGAATGAGGCCGTTGCTTCTATTTTTATGTCTTGTATAGCTGAACCACTATCTTCATAATTATCATACTTATTACAACTAAGTCTAATGTGAAAATAAAATTGTCTGTTGCTTTCCCTTCCATTGTGATACAGAGTAGTTACAGTGTAAAATGTTTTACTTCAGAATTCTAATTTTTCTAATATCCTCTTTTCCTTTTTCAACACAAGAGTAACTGTAGTTTTCTTCATGGTACACACAGCTGTGGGATTTGGATATTGGCACGTTCCAGGCTTTCTAAATTCACTTTGCTCTCCCTGTTTCATAAACAATACATTAAATACTTTCACTAACTCCAAGGCAACTTGTGGAAATAGACCATGAAAGCTTACTGTTGGATTCCACAACTAATTAACAGGTTTGTTAAACTGCCATCTTTTTAGTATGCCAAACAACTCTTCTCAGTGTTTTCCTCACTATACCATTATTATCCCTGCAGGTGGGCAAATAAGTTTAATCACCAGTGCTGTATTTTACCAGCTGCCTTTTGATTGAATCCTCAAAACATTCTGTGTACCAATTTGGTTAACTGAAGCAACTCTAAAGATGTATTAGAAAAACTAATTTAAATATTTTCTTGGAGCCACTTTGCCTCTATAAGGGGTTTGCATTTTTCAATTTAATTATATCCCCCTGGTGCTTGACACAAAATATATAAAGAGGGTCTTGGCAGGGATAGTTTTCCAACCACTTCTTAACATGCTAAGTTTGCAGCTTAAAATCTACATACAAAGACTTCGCCAAAAGACAACCAATACTAAGGCTCCTCATACTTATACATCTTTATGGATCTACCCTCCATTTTACTCAAGGTTTCAAGACATCTAGATATATTCCAGGTGTTTTACATATATTCACTAAGTTGCGATTTGGATGATTAGCAAGAGTAAGCTGTGGAATTTGCTCCGTCATCATGTGAGGTGTAGTGTTGTAAATTGCTTTAGTCACAACCATTCGTTAATTGTGACTTAGGTAATTCTTTACAGTTTATAAGAGCAGCAGGAAGATCTGAAAGTATTATTCCTCAGCTGTTCTCTGTGAAAATAACTTAACACATTGACCCTCCAAATACCCCTCTTAACAGACTTTGTTTAACAGAAATGACCTTAAATTCTGCAGAAATTACTAACTTAATCTACAAGAAAAGACATAAGTGCTTCAGTTCTTCTTGAAGTGAAAAGTAAATTGTAAAGGCTAAAGACCAAAGGCCTATATAAAACTGCCCATTAACAAATGTTTCAGACTTTTCAGAATGGAACTTCTCAATTTATTAAGTACTGTATACCACACATTTACATCTTTTATACTACACTCATCTATTGGGAATTTAATAGGGCAGTGTGCAAAAAATGGTATTTTCAACCTGATAAAGTTGTCAACAGAGAGGACATTCAGTCCATCTAGCTTATTTACACTGTTGAATATTTTAACTTCATGTTTGCTTTATTACTATTAGTCAGAAATGTATTCTCTGGAGTGCTGCTGAAATAACACAAGTATTTGTATACCAAGAAAGGTTTAGCTTTAGCAAGATATTTGGAAACTGCAAACTGGTTCTGTAAGGATTAATTAGAACGTCACCTCCTAGCTTTAAAATAAATCACCCTAACGATGCATCCTAGACATCAAACGAGCAGTATTCTAGGAGACCTTGCTTTTAAACATTCAGCTGTTGTTATTCAAAACCTGGGTCAGCCATGTAACCTTAGCCCATTCATACTGACCTCATTTGTACATATTTCTGTGCCACTGAGAATGTTAATGATCACATACTCTAATCAAACTTAGGGCTAGCTGAGTCAATTCTGCCAACAATAAGTTACAGTAGCTTATCTGGAGCTGCCTCAGTTCAGCAAGAAATGAAAATGAACAGAATCAAACTGCAATAATTTGCATGAGCTGAATTCACCATAATAATGAAAGCCAAAAGTGGAAACGGTGCAAAATGAAAAAAAAATGTAACCAGTCAAACAAAAGTTAAAAGAGCAGCAAGGCACTTCAAGGATTATTTGCTAGTGACACAGACCAAACAGGGGAAGCTGAGACAAGTAAAGAGAGGCCCATTTGCAGTTCAAGTAAACATACCTCACAGGCAACCACACTGACTAGTATTGACTTTTCTTATCAGGTTATTCCTGATTATGTACTTCCATGAAAAAGTAAAGTGTACAGTCCTTGCTCATATCAGTGTTATTAGGATATGTTATCAAGCCATATAATTTCTTCATTAAGCATCAAAAGAAACTAATGTATGCATGTTTTTAGAAAAATATAGTGCACAGATTTTAAATTGACTAATTGTTTAAAACCAAATGTTGAAAGAGGAGATTACCATCATTTTTATATATTTTTTAAGGTTTTGTTTCCTCTTTTAAAAGAACCGGAAGATTGTGCGTTTGCTGCTACCAGGCTAAAACAATGAAGTATTAGATTTGTTTAGAGAATCTGTCTCCACAATTGCACTCAACTGAGTCTGTAAATTGTGTCTTTCAGCTACAAACTGTCCAGCAAAAAGGAAAATGGAAAAACTGAAGCCAAAAGATGGTGACTGGTCATGGTGGCAGCTTTTTGTGTCCTAAAAAACCTTTTTCCTGAAAGTTCCTCTTCGGATGCAGTCCACCAAAGAAGGAATTTCAAGACTCAAGGCCACCACCTGTTGGAACACAACTGTTGTGAACCTCAGAATTTTAAGAGAAAAAAGAAAAAAAGAGAAGAGAGTTTGGCACTTGGCCATGCCAAAAAGAAAGTATTTTTCTGTGCTTCAAAGGATTTTAACAGTAGGATAAGTGTTTCTGGTTTGCTTGTGAAGGTATTATTTATGATATGTAACTATTCAGAATAATACATACTGGCAATCATGTTATTTTCCTATTACAAAGATTTTAAGCATGCAGGTTTAGGTTACTACAGATGCACTGACAGTCTCTTTGCCTGTCTCTTTAAGCTCCCTATGTACAGTAGACATAAATTGTTGATACTCTGGATGATTTCACGAGATAACACCTTAATACATTATTGAAAACAATCTAGAATGGATACAGACACATTAAGTACATATTACACTTCATTAATTCACAGCAACTAAAGATAAAATATTTTAAAATAATGTACAGTAGCAAGTAGGTAGCAGAACCCAAAGGCAAAAACCTGGAGATGGCTTTCATTAGGTGCATATACAAAATGCAAATAACTTTTCTGACACTCATAAGAAAACCAGACTGTTGTCTCTTTCAGTGTGTTTTTACAGCAATACACCTCTTAATAAAATGGTATACTCCCACATTAAACTTAAAGTTATGGCTAAAACAGTGGAAATAAGATTCTGCACACCACTGTGTGACCCCATGTGTATATCATAGTTTCTGCATACTGTAGTGTTTATATGTAAGCAATGCACTTCAAATATTTTATTAATCCCTTTAAATAAAATGTGTATGCATGTTTTATTAATCTTTTCTTTCTTTTTACCATTATTGTTGAATTTACATAGTTTTAATAATTTTCAGAGAACAAGCATTCAAAAGTTCAAATTCCACATACAGTATCAGCTGATGAAATAAAAAAAAACTGCATTTGAACAATATCGGTTATGTCAAGGTCTGTTGCTTCCAAGTTAAATCTCTTATAGTTTTAAATGTTAATTTAATATTAAATATAATTTTGAATTTCATTTTTATAATGAAGTTAACAAAATAGGAAGTTTTAATAACAATGTATAAAGCTACACATCAAAAGATACAACAGATACTATAATTTACAAGCATTTTATTTAACATTTATCAACTCAACAGAATTATCTTTTTTTCCTTGCAAAAGGACATACTAAGCTATTTGATGGAAATGTTTGCCTGGATTTACATCTGATGAATGCGCCTATTTTATATAAGTAAAGAAAATACCATTTACCACCCTGCTATAGGGCTACACACGTATAATGCCAAAAAACAAACTAAAATTCAGGCACAAAAATCAAACACCATGAAAAACTCAAATCTCGAATTCATAATCTAAAATAAATAAATGTACAATCTTTAATCAAATTACAAAGATAATAATACATTTTATATTAAAGGTGGCTTCTCAAATAACTTTACAGAATGACAACAACAACAACAAATAAAAAGAATACACAAGATAAAACACAATTACAATATACAGAGGAGACCGTGGATGGTGGTACTAAGAAAAGCAGAGGGGTGAAGAATGGAACCAGTTAAGTAAAGGCTCTTCTAAAGAAGAAGGTTTGAGCCTGGATTTTAAGGAGTTTAGAGAAGGTGACTCTCTGATATCCTTGGGCAGAGAGTTCCAGAGCTTGGGGGCATAACAGGAGAGGGCCCTGTCACCCTGTCACAATGTAGATGGGCTTGGGGGACAGTAAGGTGACCAGAATTAGAAGAGCGAAGGTTGCGAGGTGGGGAGTAGGGCGATAATAGTTCAGACAGGTACTGAGGTGCCCAGCCATGCAGAGCCTTATAGGTGAGCATGAGGATTTTAAAGTCCACCTGGAATTTGACAGGAACCCAGTGCAAGGATTAAAGAATAGGAGTAATATGGACATACTGGAGTTTGTTCAATGTAGATTTAGATAACCCAGCAAGTAAAGCATTACAGTAATCAATTCAGGAGAACACAAATGTGTTGATCAGCTTTTCAGCCACAACTAGTGATAACATAAGGCCAAGTCTAGAGATATTTATGAGGTGAAAAAAAAAATGTTTTGACAATATGATGCACATGTGGGTTGAATGTTTAAGCCAGAATCCGATATCCCCCAAGGTTTTTCAATTTAGACTGGAACTCAAGTACAGAACCTTCTACAGATAGGGTTATAGGATTGGCTTTACAAAGTTGATGGGGGTTGTGGATAAGCATGACTTCAGTCTTGTCACAGTTAAGGTTTTATGTTAGAGATGCAAATTAGATAGAATAGAGACACCCACATTAGTGTCAGGTTTGGTATGAATGTATATTTAAGTATCATCAGCATAGAAAGGTTAGCTGAGGCCATGTGATCTTAAAAAGTGGAAACATGTAAATGCTGAAAGCAAGGGGCCCCAGTATTGAGCCCTGAGGAACACCAGACTTGACAAGACCAATTTCAGACCTATACCCATTAAGAGAGACAAAGTGACAGCGATTAGTGAGGAAAGACTTGAACCATTTGAGAGCAGTGTCAGAAACTCCAGTCTCAAGATGAGAAAATAAGATGTCATGGTGAACTGTGTTAAAAGATAGTCTTTTAAACATGTTTTGAATAAACTTTACAAGCGGAATTTTTAAAGTTAAATGCAGAATTCTTAAAAAGCTGAAAACAAAACTTTTTAGCCACACATACAACAGAAAAAACTGTAACGTACATTGGAACATAAAAGTAATAAAACAAATAATGTCCAGTTGATAGCTTATATAAAATCATATTTCCAGTGTCTAACGGCTACCTGAAAACAATCACAAAAAATACAAAATAGACTTGGCTCTCAGAACATTATTTTCACTGTTCAACTCTTCAATTTAAATATTATCAGAGCCCATCTTTCTTAAGAACCGCTTTGATTTTATTAATACAGTTTTTAAAAAAATATTTTCATTCTCAGAATGATGATTTCTTAACTACCAGATCTCAGATATTGACAGAACAATTCTTACAGAACAAAACTAGCATCCTTATCAAAGTTTAAATACAAGCATCATCACCCCTAATTCTGTAGTAATTACATACAGTACA